AGTGTGGTGCCCTTTCCATACATTTCTTTCTCCAGCCCATACTTTCTCCCAAAGAGATTTGGAAAGAAAAACACACAGTCTGAGAAAAGTAGGTTGAAAGTGGAGGAGACAGAAATGATGTCAACCAGAGGATAATTAGAGGCTCACTAACTGGAACTCAGAGACTTTGATAGGAAATTGTTAATGGCACAACGTGGAAGGGAGAGAGAGATGACATGTATTACAGGAACAAATGAGAAAAGCATAGGTGAAGAGCCAAGGGAAAGGAGGGAAAAAGAGCAAAAGAGGCACTGAATCGATCTGCTCCTGTGCAGATGTTAATTCTGCTGGACAGAAAGGGGAGGCTACCAAGCAGACGCTAAAATCAAAACTGGTCAGAAAAAGTAATTCGAAATTATAGGATTTCTTCTTCGGATTGTTTTTTTTGCAAAGAAAAAAAGATGTGTGAAGAAAAGCAGAAGCAGCTTCTCAGGGTTACCTGAAAAGTTATTGAGAAGATCAAAACAATTATATGAAAGAATAAAGTTCTGCCAAGAAAAAAAAAAAAGTAAAATGCAAAAATGCCAACTGGGGAATTTTACCAAGAATTTGCTGATGAAGATTTTAGCACAAGTTTTTCTAAAAAGAAAAATGAATCAAGACAGACACCAGGACTCCTTGTCTCAGAGAGAGGGAGCCTCTCCAGACCAGCACTGCTGAGACCACCGGACTCACTAAACATGATTGTGAGAATTTGCTGTAAAAATTAATAGAGAGAAATAGCCGATGACAGCTGAGATCCCAGAGGCAAAGCCAAAGGGAGGGAGTACTGTAGACAGTCGATACATCATAAAAGAAACAGTAGATGTGTGTGTAATTAATTAGCACATGAAAGTCAGACAACTTGGTGCTGGTCTTGGCTCTGCCACTAATGGACTGAGTCATTTGGTCCAAACACTTCAATTCTCTAAGGTTCCATTTCCTCAGCCATGAAGTGAAGGGCTTGGGTGGGTCTTAAAGTGTTATCCCCAGATCAGAGGCATCAGCATCATGGGAGAAGTTGTTAGAAGTACAAATTCTTAGGTCTCCTTCCAGACCTACTGAGGCCCTGCAATGTGTGTTGTAGTAAGCCCTCTGGGTGAGAAAGCTGTTAAGTTCTAGAACCACTGAGAAAGCCACTGGCCATATGTTCTCTACATCCTTATAGCTGCAAGTACTCTAATTCTAAGTGAAAACAGAGAGGTGAGTTTCCTTGGTAGCTGGCATAAAAGTTTTTTTAAAGATATTCAATAGGATAAGACATGATTTGTTTTGAATGATGCAAGCATTTAGCTAAGCATTCAATTTTTATGAGCTGTGAGAACACCATGCACAGGCAAGGAGCATTCCAACGATGCAACAAAGTAAATTAAAGCAAATTTGAAGACCACAGATGGCAGGGCAAGGACAGCCCAGTGTGCACTGGCAGTAATCCCCCTAGGAGGGTAAGTGTTTACTGGGACAGGGTCAGGGCAGACAGTAAAGGGAAGGGAAGAAGGATCCTTCCAGATCAGTGCTTAAGTTCTACAGTTTTGTGTTTTTTAAAATAACACACTTATAGCTTAGTTAATGAACTACCTTATAAATTAATTACTTAAATTTAATGGTGCTTATATTTACAAAAATAAAATCTTCAGGGTTCACTGGACATTTTAGTGATGTCATAGGGCTCAAAGGTTGAGCTCAAATACCAAAAAACAAAGCAAAAACAAGACACACAAGCAAAGAAGCAAAACAAACAAGAAAAGTCAACTTCATAATCAACTCTCCATACGGGCATAGTTGGAGATGAATGAGACTGCCAAAAGGAGGAATTTCAGCTTGCTTTCTACAGTGTCCCCTTCCTGGTCTTTCCCCTTGGCTTGCAGTGACCTGCTCTTTAATTTCTTTTCTTTGTCAGTCACTTACATTGGTTAACTCATTGACCCTTAACAGTTGAGTCTGAATAAATTTTATTATGTGCTACGTCAACCAGGCATTTTCATTTCATTTCCCTAATGAATTCTAGAATGAAAGTTCCTGTCATCTGTGAAAGGAGCTATAGGCATCACCTAATTGGTAGGAAAGATTTTTAACAGAGCACAAAAGACTCCAGTGTCAGCAAGGAGAGCTCTGAAAGTCTATCTGACTTAGTGGTCTTAGCATAACCGGGAGCAGTGGTGGTAGGGAAGTGGAATAGCGGGAAAGGTGGAGTAGAAGGGGAGATGAGGCTGTAGTGAAATGAATAGAGACTAATGCTGGCCTCTTTGCTAAAGAGCTTTCTCCCACAGGGAGGACAACACTGCAGGTTGGCTAGGCAACAGTCTGTATCAGTTGTCACAAAATCTATATGTAGTCTTTTCCAGGACTAAAGTCTTCCAGCCTTACAGGTCAGGTATTTCCCACCTCCCTGCTTCTCTGGCCTTTTTGTGCATGAATACTGATAAACTCCTTTTCCTTCCCCCTACTTATAATGCACCTCCAGTCCTAGGAGCCAGGTGTTGGTTGTATAGGTTGTACCCTAAACAAAAGGACGCCCCTTAAGTGGCAGCACACACAGGGGGTTGAACAGTGGCTGAAATACAGCCCATGCTTCCTTCACCAAACCCAGGGTTGGGGGAGTGCTTTTTTCTAACTCACACAAAGGTGCCCCATGCCCTAGCTAAAATCATGCCAGTAACCCTTGGGGTGTGTTTTGGGCACAGCTGACACTACAGTAGTTTTCTTAAAGAAACTCCTCTTACCATACTCCCTGATTAACCCCTGCTTGTCATTCCACCTGTAGAATATGGCACACCATGTCAGTGGTGGTAGACGCACTCTGTGCTCTGGGCATGCCCACACCCTCCAGTCATGTTCTATGGGTATCAAGCATCCCAGACCGTTTTTCCCAGACCGTTCTCTACCAGTTGTTGTTTTAATTCTCCAAGTTAATTAAATATTGAATAAACTAATGACAGTATAAAAAGATAGTCGTAGTTTCCATGAAAACTAAGTTCAACACATTGCAAAAATTGGAAAGGGATGGGTACAAGAAATCACTGTTGATTTAGTTGTGGGGAGGCAGCTATAAAAGGTAGGCAAAAAAAAAAAAGCAAAATCTAAGATTCTGCTCTTGAATTACTTTATATGTCATTTAAAGTCTTTGGTTCACTTTAAAGAAACCTGAGCAAGAAATCATGGATCACGAATTATGGGTGTACTTTAGAAAAGAAAAATGCATCACTGTAAGCTACAGTCCCATGTTAAAAACAAAAGCTAATAAAATATTTTTAAATCAAGTTTTTCATTAATGAGGTGTACTCCTTTCCAGGGTGGGGAACATCTCATTTTGGTGATGATGCAACAGTGTGGCAGACCATTTGATCGGAGGAAGACATTTCTGCCACTTAAGAAAGGCATAACCTGCTGGTCTCTAAGTTTCTCCCCAAAACTGCATGGTTCTTTGATTCAGAATTATTGGGAAATGACAAAACAAAATTTCTTCTCCAGTCTTCTTCCTTCCTCCCTGAATGGATCATTAACCTCACATTAAATCATCCTTCCTAAGGAAAGTTCTGAGTTTGTGACATCCAGCTGTCTTTCAGTCAGTTTGAATTTAAAAGGCAATTTCTACAAATTCTCAGCAGAGGTGCCAAGTATTGATCTGTGGTTGCCAGACAGAATGTGTGTCCTGTTCTAATCTGTAGTAAAGTGTATTTCATAGAGTCAAATTGGATTCAAAAGAACATTTTTAATATTTTGAATTGGTATAGATATAATTGTATAGCTATTATTGAAGAGGACTCTTTTCTCATAATACATTTTTGCTTTATTGTCAAAAATACTGTTAGCAATTTTAAAAATAAAAAGGATTTGAAAAAAATGTACTGTTAGCAAAGGCAGCTATGTTATAAGATATTGAAGGTTGCATGGCAACCATCACAAAGGGTGGGGTGCTACTATACACAAATCTCACTAAACACTAAATAAAATTCTACAGAAGCCTTCTTATATGACATGATCTGAACTGGGTGTTGGTTGACAGTTGGTTAATTGGAAAAACTGATGAAAATGGCGTCCACATTTCTTATGCATGTGTTTTACCTTAAAACACGTAAATGGTTTTTTTCGATGTAGGGCCAAACTTCTTTTTTTTAAAATTTGAATTGCTTTATTGCTCTTGATGAATGGCCAATCTTTTTATTATTATTATTATTAAGGTATCATTGATATATGATCTTACAAAGGTTTCACATGAGCAGCACTGTGGCTACTCTAATATTATCAAGTCCCCCCTCAACATCCCATTGCAGTCACTGTCCATCAGCGTAGTAAGAAGCTGTAGAGTCACTCCTTGTCTTTTCTGTGCTATATTGCCTTTCCCATGACCCCCTACATTATGTGTGCTAATCATAATGCCCTTTAATCCCCTTCTCCCTCCCTCCCCACCCACCCTCCCCAGTCCCTGCCCTTTGGTAACCGCTAGTCCCTTCTTGGATCTGTGAGTCGGCTGCTGTTTTGTTCCTTCAGTTTTGCTTCCTTGTTACACACCACAAATGAGTGAAATCATTTGGTACTTGTCTGTCTCTGCCTGGCTTATTTCACTGAGCATAATACCCTCTAGCTCCATCCATGTTGTTGCAAATGGTAGGATTTGTTTTCTTCTTATGGCTGAATAATATTCCATTGTGTATATGTACCACATCTTCTTTATCCATTCATCTACTGATGGACACTTAGGTTGCTTCCGTATCTTGGCTATTATAAATACTGCTGCAGTAAACATAGGGGTGCATATGTCTTTTTAATCTGGGATCTTGTTTTCTTTAGATAAATTCCTAGGAGTGGAATTCCTGGGTCAAATGGTATTTCTATTTTTAGTTTTTTGAGGAACCTCCATACTGCTTTCCACAATGGTTGAACTAATTTACATTCCCACCACCAGTGTAGGAAGGTTCCCCTTTCTCTGCATCCTCACTGGCATTTGTTGTTTCTTGTCTTTTGGATGTTGGGCCAAACACTTTTAACAAAATTCTTTTTTATTGTGAGTTTTATTCTTTCACCTACCCTTTTGGGTTCAGAAATTTGCAATTTGACATTTCCATCCTTGCATATTTTGAGGGGAACTGGGTGTGTTTATCTCAGAGAAAAGGAAAATCAAAATGTGTGTGTGTGTGTGTGTGTGTCCTAAATGGATTGTGGGTAAGAGTAATAAGCTTCTCAGTATAAGGAAAAACTAACTATTAGTTTAGCAATTAAATAATATGGAGGCTTGCCTTAACAAGTACTGAGCTATCTCCTTCCAGAAGAGAGCAGTGATTTTCCACTGGGAAAACTTTCGGATGGGATTCTAGTATTGGACATCAGGTCAGGGTAAGAGGCCTCTAAAGTTCCTTCTGAAAGTCTTCAATGTACTTGATAATCTCTCTGACTTTCTACTCCATAACATACTTGATTTCTTCAAATATCCTTCATACACTATAGCTTCCAGATCTTTTTACTATTGTATTTGACCTGCTATGAAAGCATGTTGATGTAATAAATATGGTTACATTTTTCTCTCCAAAATTAAAATTTATTATTAGTAAACATGCCGCTGAAATGGGGTCATCAGGATATGGCCTCCATTTGGTGACCTTGATATTGCTCTTAAGAACCAAAACAAAATGCACTGTTGCTAAAGAGCTTTGGAAAACACCAATTTCAACTCAAGTGGCCAGAATTTATCCTTAGAACTAGAATGTCACTAACAAATCAGTAAGTTAATTAATTACTCTGTAGGCCTATTTAAAGAAATATAGGTCAAGAATCCCTTATTTGTAATCTAGAAAACTATAAAAGACAAATTCTTTCATAACTATTTTGGTGGCAGCATCTGCTGTGAACCACTGGAGACTACTTAATTATCTATATTTACCTTATTTATTCTGAATATTCACACATTTTGACTGCTGAATTATTTAAATGTTTGATTCAGAGGTGCACCTTTCTAAATCCAAAATATCTAAATTCAGAAGCCCACCTGGTCAATGACGACCTGTTTACTAAACTTGTCCTGTGTGACAGGAGAGACTGGTGGTGGAGTCTGTGCATTTACAATGAAAAGAAGTGATTCTGCTTGCAGTGGTGCGTGCTCCAACTCTGAAGGGTCTGGCAAATAAAAACAATTAGATCCTGAATAAAACATACTTTCTAACGCCAAGCTAGCCTCCCAAGCAGTAATGGAAATCTCCACACACATGCTCTAAACATCAAGTAAATAAAAATAAACCAAATACAAACCAGGATAAAAAATGGAAGCGGGTAAAAAAAAATTTTTGTTTAAGTCAATCAGTCCAAAGATTTTTAAGAACGTATTAGTCCCAATAGGGTTACTTCATTCTACGATGGTAAATTAACTTCAACAGCTCCATGACACAAACAAAACCGCCTTCGTGCTCTTGCTGCTCACCAGTACAGGCTGGTAGGAGACTCTGTCCCGCACGGTCACTGAAGGGCTTGTCCCATGCAGGCTGTGGCATCGGGCCTGTTGTCAGTTGTTGAACATGTGAAGAACTCCAACCCACCCTTCCCAGCCTTTGGAACAGCAGTGACATACGTCGTTTTCATTCCAGTTGCCTAGGACTATTCACGTAGCCTCCCTAAATGCAAGTGTTCATGTAGAGCCCATGGAATTTTTGCTGATCATTCCTGCCTCTGCCGTGAAAGAAGAAAAAAAGAATCAGAAAAGGTGGGACAAATAAAAACTTTAAATGGCATGGTATGAACAAGCCCAGAGAAATCTATAATCACTATTCATGATTGTGATTTTTAAGGAGTAAAAAAAGGATTTTTAAGATCTAGTTATATAATGTTCAGAAGTGATCCGCCAAAAAATGTTAAAACAAATAAAGCTTGAAAATAAAAATAGGCAAAAAAGACTATAGCAGGCAAATATTTATAAATACTGACCAGAAGATGGTCAAGGTGACTCAGGTTATACCAGAAATAATAGCTAATAAGACTAAAAATTATTAAGTATAAAAAGGGACACTCATACAGCTTTTTAAAAGCTCAATCCACCAAGAAGATATAAAAATTTGATACCTATCGGCACCTAATAAAATAGTATCAAATTATATGAAGTAAAAACTGGAAAGGTGAAGAGAGAATTTGGCTTACCAAGCTTAAAATGTTTACTATCTGGCCTTTTACAGAAAAAGTTTATGTACTTCTGTGCAAGGATATAAGGCATCTCAGCAAACTTCAAAATATCGTATCAAATGACAGCAACCTTTGAGCCCCAATGCAATTAAGTAAGATGTCAATAAGAAATAAAATAAGTTTTAAAAATTCCATGCTTTTGAAACTTTATAAGGAAGCCATACTTTTAAATAATGCATGGGTGAAAGGAGAAATAATAATGGGAATTTTAGAATACTACATAGTAAATGATAATGAACCTGTTACATATTAGAACAGGATAGATGGCCAAGGGTGGACAATATGACAGTCACCAAGGGCACTAATTGCAATGCATTAAAACAGATCAAAGATGTTTAGACCCATGAGTTTAGATACTTGGAAATAAAGCTCGTAGGGCACCTTGAGAAGGTGAAAAAAACTGATTTGTTTTGTGGAGAACTGGCAATAAAAAGTAAAGAGAAAAAAAAACAAGCAATTATCGTGCTTTTCCTACATGGACTGTAGGAATCAACCAACTAGAAATGCTGACACAGGGGGACAAGCTGAAACTTGCAGGGAACCCAGCAGGCCAATCACATCCGCACGCCCCACTGAGGCCACTGAAGGGGAGCTCTGGGAGACGTCTACGGGGAGCTGTTGCCTCTGTTGGCTGACCATGGAATTTAAGGACAGTGAGGACAGCTTGGATGGGACAAAGACCTCTGCATCTATCCATCACCATACCTGACTGCACGTAAGGGAACGGGAATTCTGGAGAACAGCAGCACAAGTCAGAGTAGTCCCTTATTTTTTGATTTAGCAGCTATCAACCATCTTTTAATCACGTCCAAATACAGACAATAGCAAAATCATTCCTCTGCTTAAGAAGATGTAGCTACCCCTCATTCCACTGAAGGGGCACTGATTTTCTCCCCCAAAGGCTACACAAATGAGATCCATCCTTAGATGATGTCCATTTGTCTTATAACTAGACCTTATTCCCCCTTTGATATCCTGTAACTTAAATACAGATGTTTAAAGTTAATATCTTATGTTAGATTATAGAGGAGTTGGAAAGAAAAAAAGAACAAATGGTGTATGTGTACATATACACATGTATGAATATATTCATATCAAAGAAAAAGTATACTCATAACACCTATAGTACTCATTTCTGCAGTTGGTCACATGGTCATAGCTGGTATTTATAACCTCCTTTTTCCACTACCCTGTCAGTATTCTCTGCTCTCCGTAAGCACCTCAGCTTTCCTGGAGGGGGTCCCATACCTTCGTGCCTGAAGGATCTGTACCGTTTGCAGTCCTGATGTATTGGGTTTTGCAGTTTTCTATCAGCATTTTTCATAGGATTTAGGAGTATGAGGATGTGTCCCCAGAGGGTCTATTGAATTCCAGACACCCCTTCCTGTTGCTACTGTGTAGTAGCAGCCCTGTTTCTCTTTGAGGATTGGGAGCGATCAATCACACTGGCTAATATAATGAGCCACTTTTTTTCTGGTTGGTCCAGAGGAATGAGAAGCTCAAAATGGCCAGGTTGCAGTCTCAGCTTCCAGTTTGATGGCACCATTGATGTGTCCCCAGGGAAAGCACTCTTCCTCTGGGAGCTAAGGCTTCTAAACCCACAGAGCACAAAGTTGAGAGGACAGGAAGCACAATTTTTACCAGTGGACCATCAGTTAGTAATGAGAGGAGCTGATCCCATTTCCACCCGTTAAGTCTTAGAACTGAGATAAAAGCACCACATGGTAGTTGCTTACTGAGTGCAGACACTGCATCCTGGAAGATGTGGCTCTTGCCCTACCAAGTGTTGCTCTCCAGCTGGCTCCGCAACAGTCTTCAAAAGGCCATCCCACCATCCTATCAGGCCAGCTGCTTCAAAACGATGGGGAATATGATAAGCCCAGTGAATTCCACGAGCTCCTGCCCATTGCTGTAATGTATTCGGGCATAAAATCAGTTTCTTATTCAGTAGCAGTGCTATATGGAATGCTATAAGGATGAATAAGGCATTTTGTAAGTTCACAAAGGATGGTTTTGCCAGAAGCATTGCAGGCAGAAAAGGCAAATCCATATCCAGTTCAGACACTGGAAGGATTTTGCGCGACCACTGCTGTTTAGGTGGGGTGGGAGTGCCACAGTTGTCCCCTTTCACGTGCTGCCAGCATACCCAGAAAAGCCATCTGTAATCAAGCCTGAGCGTTTTTTCCTTAGTACAGTGGACGCAGAGAATTTCCCATGAAGCCATTGAGACAAAGGAGCCAATTTAGGAGGAATAAGAGCCAGTTGTGCATGCCACCTCCTTGTGCCTTCAGGACCTGCCCGAGCCGTCTCACATACGTTATTTCCCCTCATGCTGGAGCGGGGCTGTGCATGCCCAACATGCTTGGGGGTCAGACACTACCTAGTGCAAATTGGCAGTTCAAGTTCCATGACAACTTGGGAGTCCAAAGTCAAGCATTCAGCCTCTCCTAGGGCCCAGAAGCAAACCAGAATCTATTTTTTAAAAGGAGAATGGGTATCTTCAGAAGATGGCATAGCTTTGCTCCCAAATCCTAAAAGTCTGCACTGTAATTCACTGATAGGATCCTTCTCTTTCACTGGGCCCCTCTGAAAGCCCACTAGATATCAAGCTGCTTTCTCTGGAGGAGGAAGGGCTGCGTGCAGCAGCTTGTTCTTCACCTCAGAAGAGGTATCTCGACACGGCCCCAGATCAGAGGAGGCAGTCACTGAGGTGGAAGGCCCCTAAGTGTTCTTGAAATGTATTTCTCATTCTCTGGATGTGTGCTGCTCCTTGCTCAACAGGTCCAGTCAACATGCTACCATTACTGTAATGGACCAAAAGGGTATTTTGTGGAATGAGAAGCAATCCAGATCTTTTAGACTAGATTATGGCAGAGGGCTGTAGAGTTGACAAAGGCTTGAGATAGGATGGGAAAGTGCATTTCTAGTCCTATCAGTTTAGAGCAAGCCACTTTTTGCAGTTTTATACTATGAGAGATAAGAGGAAAAAGTATTAGTCAGGTCAAGAGTGGCATATTAGGTATCAAGGATTGTGTTGGTTTGCCAATAAAGACATTTCATATGAACAGCAGATGCAATTAGAATCATGACCCAATTAGGGTCAATATAATCTACCATCATTGTCCAACAGTATCTCTTCTTCACAGACCATGTAGGTGAAATGCATGGGAATGTGGTAGAGATCACCACTTCTCCATTCTTTCTGGCCTTTGTGGTGGCACTACTTTCTGTAATCCCTCTGAAAATGCCATACTGCCATTAGTTTACTATTTTGGCCAAAAAAACGCAGTTCTAGGGACATCTTCCCGGTCTTTTCTATCATAAAGCCCTCACTCCATAATTTAGGGAACAACGTGGGGATTCTGCCATTTGCTGAATATGTAAATTCCAACTCAGCATTTCAGAGCTGGGAAAGTAATCATGGCGTGTGTTTGGGGATCCACCAGGCCCTCTATGAGTTGGGCTCAAGTCGAAACTCCACTTATTCCCTGACTTCATAGGCCCTACCCTCACCAGCACACCACAGTGACATTTAGGGTTTCTAGGAATCAGTGCTAATTCAGAGCGACTGTGTAGTAATTTCCCCAAATTCTGGTTATTTCCCCTCTCACACTGCACAACCACATTGGTGAGTGGCCACAGGTGCCCTTGGGGAAGGGTAGGTGGAAGATTTATGGTCCACATTCTGGCAGTGTAGCAAGATTCTTCTTCAAGGAGACTAGCCTCCCCTTAACTTAAAGTGCTTTGCATCCACTTGATCCAAACTGAATCAAGTCTGGGAATCAGTTGAGGATCCAGGATGATTTGTTCTGGGATTCAAGTCAGATCCAGGGCTTTTTTAAGTATACAAATTAAGACATTCATACAGTGTCTCTGTATTTCAATCCTAGGGACACAAGAAATTAGCCAACACCCAAGATCAAGCCATTTTGATCATGACTTTAGCTCTGTCCGTTATGGTAATCATGTTTCTCTTGCCCCTGGTAGTTAAGATAGTTAAGTGATGTCACCTGGCACCTGGCACTCTGGCATTCCACCATCCCCAGTGAATTCAGGGAGCCCAGTTTAATGACAGCATTAATGACTTACTGAGAATGGCTCCTGCAGAACTCTAGAAGGATGGTGCTATTTGCTTCAACACTGCACTTCTTAAAGCCTTGATGAAAAGAGTGTCTCCTGAACCCTCCCAGGTCCTGACTAGGGGATGGCTGAGAAGTTCTTACATCATTAGTCCACTTCAGCATTCCAACTCCTTGTCTTTTGGATTCCTTCTGTTTATACAGTGTGAGGTGGATTTATAAAAGAGGTGGGTTTCATGTGCTACTTGACAGAAAACAAATAGTTTTATGGTTTGCATGTGTGGGTGGAGTTTTGAGTAACATGGGGCAAGGCCTGGAGATAGAAATGGGAATATAGCAGTTCCCTCTTATCTGCATTTTCACTCTCCAGGGTTTCAGTTTTTCTCAGTATCCTGTGGTCCGGAAGCAGATGGATCCCCCTTCTGACCTATCATTGGAAGGTCAGCACTAGCCTAACACTGTCACAATGTCTATGTCATTCGCCTCACGTCATCTCATCATATAGGCATTTTATCATCTCCCATCATCACAAGAAGGATGAGTACTGTACAGTATACTTTCTAGAGAGAGACCACATTCATATAACTTTTATGATTGTGAACTGTTATAATTGCTCTATTTTATTAATAGTTACTGTTAACCTCTTAATTGTGCCTAATTTATAAATTAAACTTTATCACAGGCATGTATTTATAGGAAAAAACATAGCATATGTAGGGTTTGGTATTATCTGTGGTTTCAGGCATCCACTGGGGGTCTGGGAACATATCCCTGCAGATAAGGGGAGATGACTGGGCTCAAGTAAGGGACTTGAGCAGAGAGGAATAATTCAGTAGTAATTATAGATGAATGATAGAATTCTGGTGGTAGAAAAAGGGAAGTGGTGATAATTCAAACTGGAGAGTTGCTGCTTCTGGAAAGATGACTGGAAAGGTAGAGGAGAATCTGTGAATGAAATAGAAAGACTTGGGAACAGGCAGTATGTGTAGCATATGAGAGCAGCCAAAAATTATTCTGAGGTTCATTAAGTTGAGGTTGATAATATAGTGGCAATAGTAAGAAAGATGGTGAAGCCACAAAAAGAAGGCACATGGAAGACAATAGCTGGAAGGTTAGGTGGGAAAAGGAGTGACAGAGTACTGAAAATTCTAAAAATATAGCTGTCTGAGGGAGCTGATGGAAAGTGGGTTTTCATATGTAGTGACTTTGTAATGTGACACAACTTGGCTAGGTTGAACTACATTCCCAGAATTCCCTTCTCTGGGAGTTTCCAGTTAGCGGGGGCTACAAGAGAGAGTCTTGTGTAATTTGGAGGGTAGAAAGGAAGCATCGGATACTTGTAGCTCGCACACGTTGTCACCTATCTGTTCTCTCACCTCATTGGTGTGTAGCAGAGGCTGGGCCTGGGACTGATCCGCCTTCACCAAGATCCTCCTCCAGCTCCTGCGACTCCCAGGCCACGTCTGTGTGTATGTTTGCTTCCACGACAAAGAGCCCCAGCGTATATAGGACACCCAGGCCATCAAGTCCAGAGGCAATGAGAACTGACGTGGGTTTCAGACCATCCTCACGGGCTTAAATATTTTCGAGTTCTAGCTTGTTCTTTGTTTCACTTTATATCCATCTGTTCTTCCCAACTGCCTGCCCTATACGTATGTCTCCTTCACTCTGTCAGTCAGCATGCAATCAGAGAAGCAGAATCATTGTATGCATATGTGTATATGTAGTATTCACACTACACACATACACACACACAGGAGATTCTGCTTCTCTGACTATACCCTGACTGATACAATCAAGGAAATATATAGTTTAGAACAGTGATTTCCAATATTTCAAATACATGTCTGCTTGGTTAAGCATAAACATTTCTCCTCTTCTTACCCCATCAGCTCTGACAGACTCCTCTTAAAGAAGCATAAGCATTAGGTTAAGGAATTCTGGTTTGGCAGAGAGATATGGATGGTGTTTCTTATTGCAGTTTGTATTGTTTAAAATCTTATTATTTTCATTTAAAAAATATGACATTATACTATGATAATGGCTATAGGTTTTTAAATTAAACACGTCCACTTTCACATATCCCGAGGTGTTCATTCTTCCCCACTCCCTGCCCCTATCCATTGCTCTTTCGGAGGATAAAGATTAGACATTCAGGTTCCTCTTCCAGTTTGTATGTAGAAAACCACAAGATTTACTCCCTAACACCCCAAACAAACCAGATAATCTATGTAATTATAATTTAAAAAAAAAACAAAACCATCAGAGAGATGAGAGTACAAAGAAACCTAGGTGAACTGAATTTCAGAAAATGACCATCTTTCATATGAGAGAAAAGAGCCACTGTGGCGCTTATCCTGGACCAAAGTGGAGGGAAGAGGAAAACCACAGATGATGATGGTAAGGAGAAAGCAGCTGAACTTCTAACAGATTTCCATGGCAGTGTTTGGGCAGCCATGCAGGTGACAGTCCAGAGGAATCACAGGCACAGAGCAAAACTACACCACCTCACAATTCTTTCCTGCTGAGAGTCACTAACTGAGATAGGACCCCAAAAACAAGGGCAGTGAAGAAGAGCTGAGAGAAAGAGATACACTAGGCTTTCAGCTAAGAAAGACTTGCAGAAGGGCAACATAGCTGAAACAAACCCCTGGCATTCCAGGCCTCCAGCTAACAAAGATTGGGGGTAGGGGCAGGAGAGTAGAGACATTCTCCTCCAACACTGAAAGCTAAGGAAGACATCAAGTGGGGCCAAAAAACTGAGAATAACAGCTATGAGACAATATTTGTTTATAGGAAATATTCCTGGTCCTGCCTCCAAAATATTTGAAGCCAGTGGTGAATTGAATCCAACTGAAAAAATTATAACAAAGCAAAAATCCAGTTCAACTACAGCTCATATAGACTCAGCCCCCATTACAGTACACAGTAAAAAAATACCAACACACACACACACACACACACACACACACACACACACACACACACACCACACACACAGAGCAAGAAAATGTAACCCGTGGTCAAAAGAAGAAAGCCTCAATAGAAGTTAACCAAAGAATAGTCCAGTTTTAGAATTATCACTGTATAACAAAAATGCTAAAGGACTTAAAGGAAAAGATGGAAACCATTTATGAAGAGATGGGCAACTTTTAGAAAAGCAATCAAGAACATAAAAAAATGGAAGTGCTAAAAATAAAAAATACAGTATCAGAAGTAAAGAATTAGATGGGCTTAACACTAAGTTGGATGATATAGAGGAAAGAAACTTGAAAAGAGATAAATATTTAAAAGAGATAAGTCATCCAAGTTGAAAGAGAAAAAGATAATCAAAACAGAGTATTTGAGATTTATGGACAATGCCATGTAACCTAATATTTGTATCATTGGAGTAATAAAAGGAGGGAAGAGAGAGAAGAGGCAGAAACTCTTCAAAGAGATAACAGATGAGAATTTCCCCAAACTAATGAAAGATACCAATTTACAGGTCCAAGAACTGTAGCCAGCATCCTGAAGAAGAAATACAAAGAAAACCACAATGATGCATATCATAGTCAGAATTCTGAGAACTAAATGTAGAGACAGATCTTAAAAGCAGCTAGAGAAAAGACATTGAACAGAGGGAGCTAAAATATGAACTACAAATGACTTTTAATAAAAGAAAATAGAGACCGAGATGGAATGACAGGTTTAATGTGCCAAAAGGAAGAAGAATCTGTCAACCTAAAATTTTATATACAGTGAAAATTATCCTTCAAAAATGAATGTGAAATAGACATCCTCACAGAGACAAACACAAAGACTTCATCTCCAGCAAACTGTGCTACAAGAAATGCCAAAAGTCTTGAGGCCAAATAAAAATGATACCAGATCTGAAAAAAAGAAAAAAAAAAGAATTAAAAAGTACTAGAAAAGACAAATATTTGGGCAAATTCAAAAGCAACATATATTTTAGTACTTTCATTATATACATGTATTGGCAATTTTTAAAATATCAAAAAAGCCTCACAATGGATGGTGGGTTTTATAACATGGAAATAAAATATAAGACAGTATCATAATGGATGGGAGAGAAATCAAATTATGTTGTTTAAATTTTATGTATTTTATATATTCATAAAATAGAACATTATTTGAGGATAGACTGTAATAATTAAAGGTGCAAAGTTTAAGTTCTAGAGCAACCATGGTATTTCACATAAAGAAGAAAAGCTAGAAAGACAATCTACAAATTTTAATGGAATATGAAAAAATACCCAATTACCCCAAATAATTAAGTAAACAAGGAATAAAGAAACAATTGACAAATGGGGATGAATGAATGAAACTTCCCTCAATCACTATTTTTGAACACCAAATGGCTTTGGAAATTACCTTTTGCTACAGACTTGGTAAAATTTTTCATAAATTCAACCTAAAACTACAAGGCAAAGCAGAACTACATGTGATGCTTACACTGCAGTTAATCATTCTGACATGACTAACATTGTTTGAATCACAAATAATACCAAAAAGCTTTATACACTTCCCATGCTGTCAAAGTTAAAACAGAAAGCAAGATCATCATTCCAACATAAAATTTATACCAGGTACATTTTTTTCTGAATTCAAACTACAGTTCTGACAGTGGGTTTTGGAGTTTGGTGCGAGTGCAAAGGAAATTTCCATGTTAAAACCCACTTAACTGTTCAACTGAGGTGCTCCCACCTAACTAATTGGAAGTGATTAATCTGCAATACAATGGCATGTTAGAGGGGAAATATAAAGAGCTTGTATAATTCTCATAGAATTGCATAAATGCCTTGAAGGCAATGATCATGCTCCAGTAAAATCATGCGTTTATAGACTGATAAGAGTTGTCAGTACCTGAGTGAAAGATATTCGTAAAACTGAAATAAGTAAAATCGCATTACAGATCAGCATTAACAGATAAACATTTGCAATCAATTTTGATGATCAACACTTTTAACTGCTGTTCAACAAAATAAAATGTTAGCCCCTGCAGAGTTCCATTCCTCATTATCAGACTTCATTACAGTTACTATTATTACACCTGCCATTCTGTCAGTTAAAAAATTCTGGATATTTATTTACTCTCTTGTCATATAAGTATATGCACAATGTCTCTGATTTTGGCTCTTTGGCACAAAGCCTAAAGTATTTGCTTTCTGGCCCTTACAGAAAGAGATTGCCAACCCCTGGTCTAAACGGCAGAGCTTGCCCTAGTTGCTATTGTGTATTTTGTTTTGGAATTACAGTCTAACAAACTACTACTTCCCTGAGTCACTTGGAGAAGGTAAAAGGAAATGGGAAGGAAGTTGAGAGTTAATTCAGTCCTGAGGTTAAATAATTGTAGCCAACATTAAGTGAGGACATAGAATATGTAGCAAGCACTCAGGTAACTAGGCACTTTGTATATATATTTGCCCATTTAATACTTATAAGAATCTTACAAGTACTATTCCCCTTCCCAACGCCCCCCCCCCCATTTTATGGAAACTGAGTGAGTTGCCACAGAGCATACTGATAAGTAACCGATATAGAGGTTTACGGGACTTAACCCAGCAACAGGACATCAGAACCAATATCTGCAACCTTAGTAAAAGGATCAAAGGCAGATAAATAATTGTTGGGGCGGGGCAGGGGGTGGAGTGCGGGTGAGGCAGCAGGTGGTCCAAAGCAGCTTTGTTGGTGCGGACAGGAGATCTCTAGGAGAGGACACCGGGTAACAGAAACTGCTGGGGCCTCTGGAGACTCACAAAAACCCCGTTATTCCCACCTTCGCTGCAACAACACACTTTTTCACCCCGACTCCTTTAATAAATTCTGGTTCAGGGTGTTCTTCCTATGGGTGTCTGGATACATTTTATTATGTGGAAAGGTGAAGGAAAGTGGATAGGAAAGATTCGTAGGATAGGGACGGTCTGGGAAATCTGCCTGTTATGTATTATATACACACACAAGTTATGTACATATTTATGCGTATGTATTTATAAATTTATAATATACACCAACGCATTAAAACCCCTCTGTATTCATTAGCAGGCTTAAAACTTAATGTTCCCAGTCTTCTGCAATGGGCACTTCAGAAAATTTAAAAAGACTATGGGTAACAACAAAAATAGAATAATCAGACAAGTAGCCAAAGCTGGAGTCCTCGGCCCCACCGCCTTATTGTTTCACCCACAAATATTCCTCCATCGCGAGGATCCCAGGGTCAGTCATCTGATCGGCTGTTTCAGAGAAGCGGTCCTGGAGGGTGGGGATGGGGCTATTATCTTCAGAACACGTCCTGTCAACTTAGTAGTCGAGTCACTTAATTCGGTTGGTAGCGGCCGCTCTTTCTTTAAATGGACAGCGGATTTCGAAACGCGGAGGAAGGGGGTCAGGAAAAGGAACTCAACTGCCTTTGATAACTGCCCCGCAGCCTTCCCTCCCCAGCACGCGTGCTCGGAGGGGACGCGCCTGCGGCAGGCGCATCCCCGGGCGCGCGCCGCCCACCTGGGGGAATCCCCCACCCGCCGGCCTCCCGCGTCCGCGCCGCAGCCACCCCGCTTTGTCTTCGGCGTCGCGCTCGGGCGCCCGCTCTCCCACGTCTCCTTGAGTGCGGCTGTAACCCGATCTCCCATTTCCTGGTGGACTCTCTTAAAGAGGCCGCGGTCAAGAAGCAGAACAAA